AACGTGTTGTTTTTCCGTAAGAACCAAAAGTTTATTGGCTACCGCGTCGCTTCTTGCCGCGCGGCAAGTGTTTCCGCGTCCTGTGTGCAAAAGCCATTAGCATTGTGAATATATCGGAACGTAGCCAAAATGGTGTACACAACGCCGAATGTGCCGGGGAGACACCTTTAGAATTGACGGCAGATTATAAACAATAACAAAGTTGATCTTCCACCAGATTTGAACGGTTTGTGCAAGTTAACATTATGGTGTCGTAGAATCAATATAGTTATCAATTATATAGATGTTACTCACCTCTATCCGACTGTCGTATAGGTTAGGCTGATAATTTATGTATTTCAAATACCCTTGTCTTACATACGGTTAAATATTTACGATGGTGTCAACACGAGGGCCAAAATTCAAATTTTCCGACGGAGAGAAAGTGTTGTGTTACGAGCCAGATCCCACGAAAGCGAAAGTGCTGTATGACTCGAAGGTAGAATACATATATTGTTAAACATATATACGTATACTTTGAATTTAATTTGCATTTTTTACAATAGTATTACTGTGCATGTGCAAATATAAATGTAAAATGTAAATTTAATGCCAAACTTAGCAATAAATATCGATATGTTCTTGTAATAAAAAGGATATAGATTGCAAACGTAGAGGTAACCTAAAGTTGTAAAATTACATCAAATTACAAATTTATGAAATATAGAAATAAACTTATATTGTATAAGTAGATATAAGTAACTTTGCCATCATACGGTAGCTTGCAGTTCAAACTAACTATAAAATTGTTTGTAGGTGCTTGATGTCATTGTAAATAAAGATCAAAGAGGTAGAAAAGCAGTGGAATACCTTATACACTTCCAAGTGAGTTAGAAAAGCTTGATCTGAAAGAAAAACCACTTAATTATACAAATCATATTAAAGTACATTAAGGAAATGTAAATATGTTTTATTATTGCATAAGGGTTGGAATTCGTCTTGGGACCGTTGCGTAACGGAGGAATATGTGCTCAAAGATACAGAAGAGAATCGTCAACTTCAACGAGATCTAGCACAAAAAGCGCAGCTTCAGTTGTACGTATTCCTGAAACTGCTCTAACATTATACAAATTTAATGATTACTTTTTTATGAATTGGCATATTATTTTTTTCTAATGAAACAGGGGTGCTTATTTATATCGCCGCGAACGCAAGAAGAGAAGCCATAAGATGTCAGAGCGGTTAACCGAAACAGAGCATCAAGAACCTCGTCATAGAGCGAGAAGCGGTGGCAGCCGAGCTACATCGGCTACAACCGGATCTTCCGAGGATGGCAGTTCAGGCCAACACGCTGATTATGATACAGAAGTAAGTATCTCATTTTCAAGCTACAAAATTGATTTTAGACGTTTCAGAACTTTTATAATCTAATAATAGAAAGAGATAGTAGCAATAATTTAAAAAAATCTGGACGCTGATTAGTTATCGCATTGTGAAGTGGCATCATTTCCTTAATATTGCCACGCTATGTGGAAGGTTTAAACTCTGTATAATATTGGAGATCGAGGACTGCGAAAGTAACAAAGGTTCATAAGAATTACATATATAATTTATAGGAAGTAAACACAGAAGAAGATACAGAGAGTAGTTCTGATTACATGGGCGAGACGAGTGATGATGAAGACAGCGGTGGTGGCAGCCAATCGGGAGCCAGTATGAAACCAGGCGTTGATCTTGACATAGGTAGCACATTGAAACGGATTCTAGAGCAGGATTATGACCTAATAAGTAATAAAAATAAGGTAAGCTAGTAATTAGTTTTTGGATTAATAGATATACGGTGTTCCCGGGTTGAACGGCCAAACTTGAAATATGAATTTAGGATTTTAAAACAAGAAAAATTTTCCTTTGGAGATATGCTCGCAAACGCTTCGTTCAAAAGATATTGACTTTTAAAGTTACAGAATTAGGAATGAATAAATTCGAAATAATATAGGTTTATCTTTATCTTCTTTACTGCTATAAACAGTCATAAAAATTTAAACAATTAACCTCTTTATTGCTTAACAGTATTAAATATTTTGTTTAGAATGATGGCTTCCATCCTGGAGACAAACGTTGCACCTATTGGTGAGATGAGTGCAACGAGTGACTGACTGACATTGTGCTATTATTTTTTCGCACGCTTGCACTATCCTCCGTTTTAATGATCGAAGGTCATTAAAACAGATATTTTATATATTTTATGCTTGAGAACACCCCATTTAAAAAATCTATTGGTGTAAAATAATTTTGAAGAAGATATTTATTACTTAAATTTTGATTACTGTAAAGCGCAGTAAAGAGAATAATTATTTTAATTTTGATTACTGTTAAGCAGTAAAGAGAATAATTCTTTTATTTGATTACTTTAAAGCAGTAAAAAGGATAAACCTACATTATTTCAAAATTATTTATTCATAATAGTTCTGTAACTTCAGAAGTAAATATCTCTTGAACGAAGTGTTTGCGAGCATACCTTAAAAAAAGTTTTATCTTGTTTTGAGATCCTAATTCATATTCCAAGTTTGGCCTGTTTAATCCTGGAACATCCTGTATAACCTATATAGCATTGGTGCAAAATATATTTTTTAAACTAAAAATCATTCCTGTTTACATTTTATTTAAATTTTATATTTAAATGAAAATTATACAAAAGATCATGATTTATGTTAAGAACTAATCTTTCCCTGAAGGCAAATATCATGCGAATATATCACCGATATTTATTTCAGCTTGTCGTACTTCCGGCGCAACCTACTGTGATAAATATTCTGGAATCCTGGGTACAGCATTTCACTACGACGCAGTTGACGAATATCCAAGAGAAACCTCAACGGAATAAAACGAATAATACTGTAGAAAAAACAGTGAACGAAGTAAATATATGCAGAGAAGTCGCGGACGGCTTACGCATATATTTCGATTTCACTTTACCTCATCTCCTGTTGTACAGACAAGAAAGGGAGCAACATTCTTCCCTAAAAGCTTCCTTGCTAAACAACGAACAAGCGACCATTATACCAAAGGAGGAATTAATTGAGTAAATACATATGCATTTTTTTATACGAATCAGATTGAAACTTTGTTAAGAGTTCCATTAAGATCTGCCGTTTGCATTAATAAAAAACAACCATGTTTTGTTAAAAGAAATTTAGAAATATCCACGAAAGAAGAATTTGAGGATACGGAATATGCTCATTTACCACCATTTCAAGAACATGATTTGGAGATGGACAATGCGTCTAAACCGTCAGGCAATTCTAAACGAAGATTGCGATCGTGTCGTGTAAGCTCAGTTGATGAGAATCGACAATTAAGATCTTACGACGAAGGAAAGCAGGACGGTGGCAATTTATCAAGGTAATAATCAAATGGTTTCAAATCTCTATCACAGAAATTTTATAAATTCATTAGTTTATTTTCAACAACTCTTGTTTTTCGGGGATATTTCCTTTTTCTTTTGTTAGAATTGCATGTTACAATCGCATGATTTAACAAAAATTTTTGCTTTCTCTGAATTTTATCCTTTGTTTGAAATTAGATATAACGTTTTTATTATTGTTTTGTTTTAGTAGCATAGCAAGTACAAGTTCCCGTTGTTCTAGCCCGCGAGGTGTAACGTTAAGAATGCCGCCTGTTACATCCGCTCAAGTAAACTGTTTACTTCAACAGTCAAATAAGTGGAGGTTAATGCCTCAAGTTCCAAAACAAAGCGAAATTCCAAATCCCTCTACTTACTACGGTGCCATTCACTTAACTAGATTATTCGGTAAGTCGTCTTTATCAAGATTATAAAATCTTTACGTAAAAATATCTATATGTAAAAAAGTCAAATGTTTAATTTCAGTTAAGTTACCCGAGTTATTACAATCCGCAGATATATCAAGCAAAAAATTAAAAGTACTTTTAAGATATTTAGACATGTTTCTAAGGTACGTGGCGAATTACAGCAAGATGACTTTGTGTCATAACTAAACTGTCATAATCTTGTGATAAAAGTGTATTAATAATGTAATATGTTTGCAGTTATCTGGAGATGCATAGGGAATGGTTTGGAGAACAATTTTATATGCAAATGGAAAATCGAACGACATCGCAAACTAGCAATGTTTAACAATACTTTACGTTTATTACATATAACTATATATATAATATATATAATTGTATATGTATGTACATATATGTATATTTTGTACATATATGTATATATATGTAAATACATATATATAATATATGTATATGTACAAGGTATCCCATAAAGACTGTAACAATGCTTATGGGTAAATTCTTGAAACCATTTTAAGACAAAAATCTTAATATCAAAATTAATTTGAAACTTAAGGTAAATAAGAACAAAATGCTGATTTTATAGCGAATAATAAATAATAAAAAATGTAATATAAACATAAAAAACGAATTACCAACATTTCAGTCTTAAGGTTTAGATCCTCTTCAGTGTAATATTTCGAATTGTCAGCTAATTCCATGTTTTATTTTATTCAAAAAACAGCAGTCAGTTACGTGATATACCATAAGTTCTACTTTTTTTAACAACTTCACCGCCGACCAACGATTTAAGAACTTGACTACACTTCTATTTTATTTGTGCATTGTTGACGATTAGTTTTAAGATCATTGTGAAATATTCCACTGAAGGTCTAAACCTTAAGACTGAAACGGTTGTAATTCGTTTTTGTTTATATTAAATTTATTATTGGTCGCGTTCAGCAGACCAAGCCGCTCAGTAGCAGTCAAACGTGATTGGCTCTTACTTTTAGAACGAACAAATCAAAACAGTGTGTTGATAAGACGAAGTCAACAGTTGTGCAACAGTTGTGTCTTTTGCTTTTATTTACCCTAAGTTTCAAATTAATTGTGTATCTAGAGAGCGTTTTTCTTGTCTTTAATATCAAAATATTGAGACTAATAGTTAATAGTAATAATAGTTTTTGAATTAAAAACATTTAAAGTCAGCGAATTAGGCTGTGCTAAAAGCGAAAACTAACTCTCTCCTCTTGTAAAAATCAATATCGAGATGACACACGCAAAGATAGTGAAGTTGTCTTTACCGATATTTATGTAAATTTACGGGACACCTTGTGTAAAACAAAACTATATACATCGCTTCCCCTAATCTAAAACGTGATACACATCTACATTATACTTATCTATTTTTTATATGACTAAGTACATATAATTTGTACTCACACATTAGTACAAATCTTTTTTGTCATGATGTGATATTTTTCTATCATATGTTTTTTACATAAAATTACGTTGCGTGTTATTTATGGCGCAAAACTCACGATAGATTGTAGATAAATAAAGACCCGAAAGTTAAATGTGAAATCTGCGAAAGTAGCGAATTGAAAATTAATTCTCAACATCGCAAGATGTCACTTTCTCTCTTTGAAATTATATGAATTATATAACTATACGTTTAGGAAATTATGAGCGGTATTCATAGTCGGATCTTATATTTAAGACCATCTTAAGTGTAATCTTAAGGGCCTGAGCAGAATAGCTGACTTATAATTTTAAGACAGTGTTTTATGTTCTAAATCTTTATTTTTAGTAACGCACAATACTGTCTTGTGTCTCTCAAGTCTTACAAATGTTGACACTTCGTACACACATTTAAGACTTGAGAGACAAAGAGCAGTATTGTGCGTTACTATAAAAACAAAGATTTAAGGGCCAAAGCACATATGACAGTCGTAGTCGTGGACGTAAGTAACGCACAAGCTTTGGCGTATCTTGATTTGTCAGGTCGAGGACTACGACCGTCGTATATCGCTACGCCATGTTATGTGCTTTGGCCCTAAAGTACAAGACATTGTCTTAAAATTATAAGTCAGCTATTCTGCTCAGGCCCTAAGAGCATTATTTAAGACGATCTCGAAATAAGATCCGACTACGAGTACCGGTTTTAGCGTCAAAATTTTGTACTTTTGTTTCTAATCAAATACAAGCAGATAAAAATCAAATTTTCTTTCTTTATTTTTTGTACGTTGGAAAGGAAGAAAAAACAAAGAAGCGGTACAAGAATATAAATCAGTTACAAAGAATAAATATATCGTCTATTATTTAAATTTAAAGCTCTTCGTGATCGCATCTTCTGCACTTTCCGTTCTCTATCTCTTTCTCTCCAACGCGCGGTTACACCTCTCGCGTTTCAAGTGACTAGGGCAAGTGTAATTCGATGCGACTGCAAACTGCAAAGAACAGGATGACATTCGGGAATTTGCAATTTGTTCGCACTCTCATTTTCCAAGATGGCGCATTCACCTGCATTCCCGTCGGTTTGTTGTTGCCGGTGATGCGCGCGTAGATCGCAGGCTTGCGACGAGTCCGGTCCGAAATACGATCAGGCAGCAGTGGTGAGTACGATCACTACGATCGAGCAGTTTAATGGTATCCGGTGCGTTTGCATTCAACACGGTGCAATTTCCTTTCCCCGCTCGAGCTCGAGGTTACCCTTATGTTCGCGCGATTATAACCGCATGGCTCGGCCCGCTTCATACTCGCGACGAACGAGAAGGTGAGGGGAAATAAGGATATCGGGTGTCGTGTTATCGCGAATGCGGCCGCACCGGACCACCCGTCACTCCATACCGTACGTGCCGTAAACGTAAATTAACTCTCGGCTCGTCCTGTGCACAGTGACGCGCGTCTCGGGGATGGGCTTGCAAGACGCCGTGTATACGGCGGTCACTATGCCGTTTAATGTAATTCACAAAACGAGTGCGGGAGCCGCCTCGTACGCTTGGAACGCGGCCACGTCGGTAAGCTTATCGCCCATTATCTATGTCCCCTTGTATTCTCTCGCAAAACGACTCGAGCTCTGTGCCTGGCTTGCACCTCATGTCAGCAGCTAAACCTACTTCTAGCATTAAGTGACTTATCTTCCATATGTTTTCTAGTCATACGTATACAGCGCGCGCGCGTACACACACACACACACACACACACACACACACTTATACATACATACATACCCATACATACACACAAACACCACACGGTACATATGCACGTATCTATATTCACGTTTACGTTCTAAATTTAAAGTAAAATCTTCGACCAGACCTTGATTAATTAATGAGAATAATTAACTTGTTAAGATGTCAATAATGCCTGCACTATTTTGCTAACACGTATGTAAATATTAATCTTTTGTTGTTCAACATACGGAAAAGAGATTAGATTAGATACAACGTATAATTAAAAATCTTGCAAACGATTCTACTGATTTAATTGACCTGAAGAATTTCATGAGAATTTCATGCAATGTTTTCTTTCCTTTTTGGTTTTGCACACATAATTCTCACAATAGGCCTTGCCGTTATTTTTTTACAAATTACAAGGATTAAGCCCCTTGCACAATGCCAGGCAACAGGCAATAGGAACAGGAAATA